GTCATTTAGTGGGGGTAAGGGTTCATTTTATAATTATGTATTACTTTGAAGTAGCAAGGTGTGAACTGCAAAATCTATCAAGTCATGATTTAAATTTTATCAGTTTTATTGACAACTTAATTGAATTTATTATAACTAACGAGGCTATGCTCAAAAGTGGCAGAATATATACTTAGTAAGAAAATTTGTAATCAAGCCCCTCTGAATTCGTTGTCCTTTGATGGTATTCTCATAATAAGGGCGTGAAACATAAACGTGAAAATTAAGTATTGCCATTGTGCGATATTTTTAAATTTTGAACATTTTCTTCATCAAATACTTAATCAAATATGTAGTACGAATGTTGTAACCTAGTCTATCTAAAGCATGTAGCAGTACTGATTTGTTTTAATGTTTAGTTTTTGCACAAGAATAATATCTATGGCATAAACACATTGATATAAGTTTCTACAGAGATTATTTGAAATAATTTTTTCTGAAAGATTACTGTCAAGTCAACTAAAACTAGCAGCAAAGTTATAATATTTTTTTTACAAGTTCATTATTTTATTTTAGTTTTACTGCTTCCTCTTTTACTGAGCAATATAAAAACAAATTATCCAAGAAGTGTTTTCTAGAATTTACCCTAGAACATCTTTCGTTTCATAGAGTGAGCTCAGTATGTCTACCCGTTTCGTTATATAGGGGAAAATTATGTACAAACTGATAATTAATTCCTACAAAATGTAAAACCTTAACATAAAATTATTATTGAAAATGTAGTGCCAGGATTAGTGCCTAAACATTATTAAATCTATTATAAATCAGTATTATCAAATCAAATTTGGATTGTGTACTTATTTTAAATGCCCTATTGCATTTTTAATTATTTTCAATTTGGTATTATAAACAATTAGGACTTACTTAATAAAGGTGATAGGTTGTTCTTATATTATACCTTAATGTAGATAGTTTATATATACTATGTTATTATCATCATTTTGTTTTATCTTCCGTCTAACAGCTCTACATTCCAAAAACAGTTTACTTGTATTCTAAAGGTAACTCACTATTTATATACAATATCATTATTCCATACTTAGTCACAAATAATGTAGTGTAAAAATCTTGTTTCTAATGTTATAGAGTATGCGTTTACATAAAACATAGATTCGCTAGTATGTAGGAAGCTTTGTTGTATACTTACATTTAGTATTGGGTGTGTTAATCTGTGGCCTACTATCCGCCTTATTAAACTTAAAATGTATTTGATAAGAACAGCTTGGCTAATGATAATGAAGGAAGTGTTGATTATAATGAATTCTTCAAAATGCACCGTTCGGTATTTTTGCTTTATCATTGTACGTAATTTATTGATATTTATATTACATAATATTTATTATGTTTACACCTATTTAGAAAATAGTTTTTCTCACCAGTGACAGGCAGCTAGCTGTATGTTGTGTAAAGAAATCTTTAAATGTTGACGTGCCTTAAATTGTTTCAAGCATGTTGGTATTAATTGTTAAGGTTATTTAATGTTGAGCAGATGAAGATAGATAATTCGCATCACAAACTACTTCATTAATGAATTAATCATAATGTCATTATCAATGTAATTTATTTGTATCAGTTTCCATAAGGTTTTATGCCAAATATATTGTAATATTATGAAATCACATTGTTTATAAGAAACTGTTATGAAATATAAATTTTGAAATATTCTTTTGTAATTTATTTTGTTTCCTTTTTCTTGTGTTCCATCAATACATTTTCCATTATTTTTGTTAACTTCCCACTATCGACACCATGGGTAAATGACATTTCGTCTACCTCAAACTGTCTCAAATTAAAAATGATACCAATGATAAAGGATAGTTCAGAATCGTGAAAGGGGTGCAAAATATTCTGACATCACTATCTCTGTCACATCCTCTACTTGAATAGGTGTACGTACCACAGGCGTAGTTTATTTTGCCTGCGTTTTCTTGTCGGTCAAATGCGTCAGGGGTTGTGTTGCTGTAAGAAATATATCAAAATACCTAAACGGTGGCGGCTTTTAGCAAATTATCTATAAGAAAATAAGCAGTGATTGCTATTATTTTGATCAATGGTCAGCATACGCGGGTACATCACGGTTATTACACGCTACGTTTGTTGCTCGATAACAAAACGGTAAGACTGTACGTGAGCGTTATTGTATTTTTTTTATAGGATAGGGTGACAAACGAGCACATAGTCAACCTGATGGTATGTGGTTGCTGTGACCCATAGACATCTACATCTATCCTCAATGAAGAATCAAAATGCAGATGCGTTGTCACCCGCCGTGAGGACTAAGATGGAGTGCCCCTTTTCCAGTAAAATGGGTCTCCGATTTTCTACACTCACCGTACGAAACACAGCAGCGTTGAGCTGCTATTTTAAGCTGGTAATACATAAAACAAAATATATACATGTTTTGCATGTAGAGCAACAGTCTCATCATCGCGTGACGTACATGTAATGGGACGTTTTAGTAGGGATGCAGGAAAAGCCAAAAAGTACCGATATATATTTCGAAAAGAGAAATGGATATATCGGTGAAAAAAAAAATTTGTACTTTATGAATTTCTACTGTGTTTGTTTTACTAGTAGTCCATAAATCAGTCAGTATTACTATTCATATAAATACCAAACTAGAAACATCATTTCTGATGATCAAGTAACTAATGTAAAATCACAAATTAATAAAATATTGATAAAAATATAAAGCTTTTTAATGAAACGAAGTAGAATATGCAATTGCAAAATGCACTTACGAGTAATATGCCAACCAATATTTATCCGAAAGAAACAAGAAAATCTGTAAATTTGATGTAATCTGCTGAAAGTCGGCTTCTGCTAAGATTAACTACTGATGCCACTCTCTCTGGTGAAACTGAGGATGCAATAGGTACCAAATACACTATCACTATTTTTGAAAGGACTCTGGTAAAATGGCGGCTGGTAACCAAAGTTTTAATGGATTATCTGAATTCCAGCGGTTTTAGTCAGTGGCGAAAACGGTGCTGCTACTGGAAATAAACTGTATTTGTTACATTTCGTTTATCTTGATTTTATACTTGATATTTTATATCGATGTATCGAAATAAAACATATCGCCAAAATATCGATACATCGAACAGCCTACGTGTTACTGCCTACGGCTGCTCCCATAAAGGTCAAATCCTCTGGGGCCCATTCAGCAGAGTTTCAACGAACAGACGTAGGTCGGGCCTCCTAAGGTCAAAGTTGAAAATCTCTAATTACAATAAACAATAAGGGGGGGGGGGGGGCGTTCGATCTTGCTGCTATTCAACAGGGAGAATATTAAACCCGAGCTTACCTACCTATATCCAAAGCGACTGGTCCCTCAGGGTTCGGTCAGGTCGCATGAGGTTGTATGGTGCATGGGAAGTAAAGGTCAGTGATGTGTATCTGTGTGTGACTGAGTGTGGTAGACCTTATGCGACCGTTGCCGTCGGCAGCAGCTCGGACTTCATCACCGCTCCAAATTGTGGTAATTTTCCGCGGAGTCGTCCCCACAGTCACTTTCTTCGTTCGACACGAGGACAGTCCTATTAGCTTCATTGTACATTTAACTAACTAAAACTCGCCTAATTCCACATTCATCGTAGAATCGAACACGTGATACACAGTAACGGACAGTAGTTCAAAGTTCAACATTCAATGTCCCGGATTCACTTATCACAAATTATAGAGGGAATTAAGGCGATCTATTAATGAGTCATACTACTCAGTTAAACACAACTAAGTTCCTTCATTCGACACCAAAAATCACGTCGCGAAAAGATTCAAAATACGCCTCGTTGACGCGTAAACTAAAAAGCCAACACACACAAAAAAGGGCACTTAACGCGACGACACGATTATAATGATTTCCTGATGAACAACCGGGAGAAGCTCTCGAACAAGGCCCTTCGAACCCTAGACCGTATATCTACTCGACGCGCGCGTGCACAATTCCGCATCCCCGAACAAAAAAATGAAGGCGTGCTGTCCCAAGCACAGCTGGCAAACGACTCGTATTTTACGCCGCGCGTTCTACGCACGACCGAACGTCAAACCGGTATGGCGCCGAGCCGAGCGCCCTCTGACGTCGATTCCGAAACCAGCGTTCGGGCGTAAACACTACGCTACGCCGGTAGAGATAGAGATTCCCTTGTAGCTTCCCACAGTGGTAGAGCCACGCGGCAGCTTTTGCTGTCGCACGGATGGGCCGGCTCGAACCGGGGTGGTACCACGACCTCACAGAATACCAGCGTGAAGTAGAGGTTTACCTCTGAGTTTCGCTTGGTGAGTGCAGGTGGCCGGAGGCCCTTTTTACTGGAAATGAGGCATTCCATCTTAGTCCTCACGGGTGGCAACGCATCTGCATTTTGATTCGCAAACGAGGATAGATGTAGATGTCTATGGACCGCAGCAACCACTTACCATCAGGTGGACTGTGTGCTCGTTTGTCAACCTTATCCTATTAAAAAAAAAGCTTTGTACGTTTTATTTTCTTTGTAAACAACTTTTTTACATGATTTTCAACGTATTCATTGTTAGAATTGATTAGGAGACACTGCTAATGATTTTTGCAATACCAAACAATCAAAAAATTATTTTACATATACATATTATCTACTTTTCTGCCGACTTCCAAAAAGGAGCCGGTACTCAATTCGACTGTATGTTTTTTTTTTTATGTGTGTTACCTCAGAACTTTTTTCTGGGTGAACCGATTTCGATGATTCTTTTTTTATTTGAAAGCTGGTACTTCTCGTGTGGTCCCATATGAATTTGATCAAGGTCAGACCAATAGTTTTTAAGTTATTCTTAAATAACTTATATTGAAGTCGGCTGTACAAAATTTTTAATTTTAAATTATAAATATTCAGTTTATTGAATCTAAAGAAAACTTTTAGTTTTTTATTTATCGGACTTTATTTGAATTATGAGATAAACATGATAATTACAGTTAAAATAATTAAAACTTATTTGTAAAACTCATATTCACTCTCATCTTTTTTGATGTTGTTTTTGTAACCTTTCTCGAAATCTTTCGGCAGGACAATGTATCTGAAAATAATAATAAATTGCCGTTAGTATTTCAGAACTACTTAGTTTAATTATAAAATTAACATAACGTAATAACTTCTATCAATCCATTACATCCTGTAACAGACCACAGCTGAACATAGGCCTCCCCCATAGATCATAAGGGCATAAACATAAATTGTGCCATTTTTTGGGATTTTTAATTTAGTATTAATTATAAAATGGTATTTCCTGTATATTTGTGACAGTGTCTAAGACTGGCAAAGTTCAGCTGTGGACTTGGGCTAAAATAATGACTGATGATTGTGGATTAATAATGAATTATACAATTTTTAACAAACTTACATAACTACTGGTCCATAATAGCCTTCCATATTTGCAGGCTGAAGTGGTAATGGGCTGTTCACATCTGTCGTAGAAGTGATAACCGTTGGAGTAGGCGTGTCATAAAGTGGAGACCGCGTTTAGGTAATCGTAGTGTGGGACACCCCCTGGCTAGATGGAACGACGATCTGCGCGAGGCGGCCGGCAGCAACTGGATGCGTTTAGCCGAAGGTCGAGATAAGTTGCGCGCCTTGGGAGAGGCCTATGTTCAGCAGTGGATGGATGTCGCAGGAGTGGATGCCGCAGGCTGATGATTGAATATCCCCGAGACTTCTGGTTAGCAGTAACTGTAACAGTTACAGCTGCGTTATGGGATAGTTAACTATTAGGTTAAGTGTTGGCATTCAATTAAATGCCTAAAGAAAGTTTAGCCAAATTTCTTAACAAAACGCTGAACCATACAATGGCTAATGTTGTTTAGCCATACGGTTAATCAAAATTATGACTTTGATTCCATACTTTCATTTGTTAAAATCGTCACAAATAACTACTGGAATCTGTAAATTTATATCAGCCGTTGATGACATCTTATATATAAAAGAAACTATGTTAACCTACTTGTTTCTAGACTCAGCTGTATCCTAAATGCTTACAAAATCTAGTTAAAATGCCAGCCCAAACGATATAATATGTTGATGACTAAAAATTTAAACATTAAGTTGAATATCGACGTTTAAATTATCAGGCTGCAAAAGTTACACTGTACTGTCGGCAATGTTATATATGTTATATATACATAACAGTAGATTTAAAGTAAAAAGAAATATTTTCTTAAGAAAACTAAAGGTTTTGTGTATCATGTCCATAATACCTAAATTGTAATTATAAATTTCTCAATTTGGTTTTTACTAAATTACCTGTTTTCTCGCACTGCGTGCATTCCAGCTTCCTGACAGATGGCGTTTATATCAGCGCCTGATACACGATCTGGTCGCGCAACAAACTCTTCGAGATCTACTTCTTCCGACAGGTTCATTTTAGCTGTGATTGTTGAGAATATCAAACGCTTTTGACGTCTGAAAATAATTTAGATAGATATAGCGTTCAAATTAGAATTCTATCTTAAGCAAAATGCTAGGAAATTAATGCTACCTACCTGTCAGGAAGAGGGAATTCAATCTTTCTGTCAAGACGACCGGGCCTGAGGAGGGCGGGATCCAAAGTATCCGCACGATTCGTCGCCATTATGACCTGAAAATACACAAATTATAAAGCATTGTCTTCATTATTACAGCCTATCATGAGTCCACACCTGAACATAGGCATTCCCATAAATTGCCTCATAGGGGGGATATTTGTCATAGTTGCTACGCTTGACAGGCAGGTTAGTAACCGCAGTTTTTTATTTTTAGTCTTATTAGAAAGTTACTGCTGCCCTTCCCTTCATTTGTTGCCCTCTGTAGCCTCTTACGACACCCACGAAATGACATAGGGTAGTGGATATTCCTACACCGCCACCAAATGGTAAACAACTCTGCATCGATCTACAGAATACCGTACCAGGTTGTCATTCCATCAGTGGTTGGCCAGCCAACACTTGGCTTACCGGTGGACTGGTACGAGGCTCTTACTCCCTTAGTTTTCACTCCTTGTACTCCATTTACCATTACCAGTTCAAGACTGGCACTTGAGAATCTTTCTTCCCAATCGGAGTTTCAATCTCATCAATCACAGTTTCAAGTCTAAGTATAATTGAGTCAACACGAATTTTAACTCTGCTGAGAAGGGCTTACGAAGTCGAAACAAATCTCGTAATGATATAACTTAGAATCTTAAAACAATAGTGTACTTCTGGCGGAAGTTGTAGTTAAGGCTTTTTTTTTAACTACTATATGCTATTGCTTGACTACTATCCCACCTGATGATGAGTGTTGATGCAACTGAAAATGGTAAAGCGCACTGAGTTAGCTTAACAAAGCTTACTCCTCAGCATATATTCACTCTTGCTTTGATGACACCCAACATTGTAATTGGATGAAATCTTTTATTGTACGCAACATAGGATTTCGAGATAAGGTTCTCGAGTGCTTGTGCCAGTTAGCGAAGTGTATGGCGATCCCACACTAAATGCAGTGACGACCTGGTAAGAAATGTAGGAATTCGATGAAAGGAGTGACTCAGGATCATGCTTCGTGGCATTCCTTGGGAGAGGCTTATGGTCAGCAGTGAACTTGTGATGTACTGTAATGATGATGAAGATGATAGAGTGATATATGCTGAGGAGTAAGCATTTAATTATTTACCTTGACATTAGTTGTTTGATCGAAACCATCCATTTGGTTAAGAAGTTCCAGTAAGATTCGCTGCACCTCTCTGTCAGCACCAGTCTGAGCATCAAATCTGAAAAAAATTACAACTGATAAGATACAAATTAAGAAGCAGTTTAAGAACTGCTTCTTAATTTGTAGTATAAGTACTTGAATAAAATATTAATTATTATTTTAAATCCAAGGTTGAAATGGCTATTTCAGAAAAATATCGAAATGTGGTATTTTTTATTTATCAATTGTAAAATAAGTAAATAGTACTAATTTAGACTTAATACATTTTACGTTTTATATTGTACGTGGTAGAGCCATACTGCAGCTATATTAATAGTATAGTTGTAGCACGAATGGGTTTGTTTGACCGGGGTAGGACCACGCTCTCACAGAATACCAGCGTAAAATAGCAGCTTAACACTGCTGGGTTTCGTATGGTGAGTGTAGAGAGCCGGCGGCCCTTTTTACTGGAAAGGAGGCATTCCATCTTAGTCCTCAAGGGTGACAACACATCTGCATTTTGATTCTTTATTGAGGATGTGTATGCCTATGGGTCACAGCAACCACTTACCATCAGGTGGACGGTGTGCTCGTTTGTCACCTTATCCTATAAAAAAAATATCAGCCCACTTTTATTTACTTATTGCATGTGTAAACAATGTATGTGTATGAGAAAAGGAAAGGTAATTTCTTTAGGTCTCAAACAATCTATGTAGACATTATACCAATTATACAGATTACATATTTACCGTTTAGTAGCGATAGCGTCAATTTCATCAATAAATATAATAGCTGGGCTGTTTTCTTTAGCAAGACGGAACACGTCACGGACCATACGCGGCCCCTCGCCCAGGTATTTCTGAACAAATTCAGAACCAACTACGCGGATAAAAGCAGCTGAAAAAATATATGCATTGACAATTAGAATAGTAGTCGTGTGACAGTGGCAGTGCGTGATTTTTCATAAATTACATAACAGATCATATACATAAAATAAAATATATCATAAATTATGCTTTAAAATTTATATTTTTCATCTATCTACAGTATAGAAAAATTAAATCTGTTCAATTTTAAAGGATGGATAGGGGAATACTTCTCGATGCCAATTTCGTAAGTACAGTCAGTCCAAGCTGCAAAGCGCGACTGCAATAGATTGTATAAAACCTTCAAATGTCTTACAACACCAATATCTTCTTATGGGAAGAAGTCCAATAACGATACCGAAGACTAAAAGGAATATCGTCATTGAAACACACAAACATTGCCCTCACAAACATATTTTACTTTTTTAAGATAGAGGATACAAAAAGGAGATTGGAACTATTTTTACTTTTTAGATGAAACTTGGCTCATTATACAGCGACAAAAAAATCAAATACAAATACAGCAAAATCTTAATAGGTGTCTGAAGGCAAACTCTAATAGTTTGTAATGCTATAGAAACAGTTGATTATCACGAAGAAAAATATTACGATTTTTTTACAAATTGGTCATAAAATTACTGGCAAACTTAAAAGAACTGCATTATGTACGGGCAATGTGCATACACATATATTCAAATTGCAATTATACACTGTGAACATTTTAGAGACGTAAATACGAGGGGAGGTCAAAAAGTTCGCGGAATAGCGGGGTTAGCGAGGGTGAGTTTACTCATCCAGGCAGGCCCCAGTTGAGTGACTCATTGTTAGTATATATACAAAGTTTCAGCCTAATCGGGTCATTAGAAAGAGAAACTTGAATATCGCGCCGTCATTAAGTTTCTCAACAAACAAGGAAAGACACCTCAAACCAGTTTTCAAGAGATGTCAGCTGTTTATGGGGACTCCTCTCTTGGGAAATCCATGATTTATAAATGGCACGCCCTTTTCAAACAAGGGTGGGAAGACGACCCCAGACCTGGACGGCCGATTGAGGCTAACACGCCAGAAATAATCGAAAAAGTTGAAAAACATGTATCGGAAGATGCCCGGCTAAAGAAAAAACAGCTTGCAGCATTCGTTGGAGTATCAAAAACAACCATTTTAAACATTCTACATCAACACCTTGGTATGACTAAAGTCTGTGTAAGATGGGTTTCGAGAATGTTTTCTGCGCATCAAAAACACAAACGCGTCGAAAGTTGTCGCGAGTATTTGAACCGCTGTGAAGAGCGAAGGGATAAAGTTATGGCCCGAATTGTAACTGGCGATGAAACTTGAGTTCACCATTATGAACCTGAGTCAAAGCAAAAGTCGATGCAGTGGCATAAAAAAGGCATACATCTTAAGAAGTATAAGGTGTCTCAATTGGCCGGAAAGATTATGGCGACGATTTTTTGGGATACACAAGGTATCCTTTTGATTGATTATAAGGAATGTGGTGTTTCCATAACGGGAAAATACTACGCTTCTTACTAGATCAATTAAGAGAAGCTATTAAAGAAAAAAGGCGAGGAAAGCTTACAAAAGGCGTGCTCCTTTTGCACGACAATGCGCCCGTGCACACATGTCATGTTGCAACGGCTGCCATTCACTGGTGCGGTTTTGAACAACTGCGAAACCCACCCTACAGCTCAGACCTGGCCCCAAGCAACTATTATTTGTGTCCAAAAATAAAGAAAGAACTGTGTGGGAAATTTTAGTGACGATGATGAAGTGAAGTCGGCAATTTCGGCCTATTTTGACGCCCAAGACAAGTCTTTTTTGAGACGGTATTAATAAGTTATTTGACAGATCTAATAAATGTATTAGGGTTAAGGGAGAATACATTGAAAAGGAAAAATAGTTTAATGTTTCATTTCATTATCCTTCCCCTTTTTGACCTCCCCTCGTAGTTATCAATTTGAGAGATTGATCTAAAGATCGACTTGCTTGAGGATGATGATAAATGTTTTCAATGCTATAACAGAGATAGATATTTATTTAAATAAGTAATGCCAGTGTGAGGTGTCTGTTGATTCATTCAAGAAATTTATTAGCTTGCACAAACTAATTTTTTCTCTAATTAGTTAACCCTACATATATATTCTTGGCAGCTTTCTTACATCCAAAACCAGACTTAATAAGAAATAACTTGATAGTCATCAATTTTAAGATTAATTAATTGGCTTTTTAATATCTATGATGCAGTGATGTTACAAATACTTACATAAAACTTCTATAAAGATATGTCACCTACAATATTTATTCAAAAATATTATTATGTATCATACATTAAAATGAGATTTATCAACTTTACTATGTTTAGTTATAAATATACCTGTAGTGTGGTGAGCAACAGCCTTTGCCAACATAGTTTTACCACAACCAGGTGGCCCATACATGAGCACACCTCTTGGTGGCTCAATACCAATCTGTCTGTACAACTCAACATGAGTCAGTGGCAATTCCACAGCTTCTCTTATCTCTTGTTTCTGAGTATCCATACCACCAATATCAGAGTATTGCACATCAGGTTTCTCATCTAAAAAAATATGTTTTAATTAATAATGACACAAGACCACACAGTTATGCATTTTCAAAGCCTGATATAACTCACTAGTTCAACCACAAAATTTTAATAGGGTATGCCAGGTTTTTTATCTTGATATATAGGTAACAACACGGACTTAGTGACATAAGGGCATTATTTCCTTTAAATAACAATCACAACTTTACTATATGGCAATATACAATATTTATAAATAAAATAAAAAATTATCTATAGAACAGTAACAATAAGCTTAACTATTTAAGCTTTACCTGCTTGCAGCATAGAAATAGAACTGTCAGCCTCTGGTGGTAATACATCCACAAGAGCATTTGAATGTTTGTGTAATGCAACCGATGCCGATGGCTTCAGCAATTCTCGGTCAATTGTAGATAAGATACGCACATAATAATTTGAGCCAGTTGTACTGCCAACTGAAATATAATATATGGTATTAATATTAAGGTAGTGATGGTTTAACATCAACACAATTAATAATATATAAATTAATTCAACTCATGCAATAATGAGTTAGCTCATTTGTCACTATAACATCATGCAAAACTTTACTTCTTCTTTCTTTCTTTCATCTTTATAACTCTGTAATAGTATATTGCTTGACACATAGGTCTATTCCAATGTAGTATGGAAAATTTGCTATAGTCAACAAGCTTTGAAAACAGATAATTGATTGTAAGTGCCAGAAATCCCACACCTTTGATGTTGCTTCTTGTTACCAGCTTGGAGGTATATGGGGTAACGGATTGTGTTAGTAAAGATTACAAATTTGTAAAATTAAATACGAAGGGGGACACTGAAAGTTTTTAGAATTGGCCACTTTTTCGGAATTGGTAAACAATATAATAAAAATTTTGAAAACGGAACTCTGCCAATATTATTGTGTATGTATTTTATTAATTTGTCATTTGTTTAAAATTTGGCAGCAAACTGAAAATCGTCTGTGTTACGTCAGCATGAATTTAATGCGAGAAAATTTTCGTAAAATGATTTTTTATGACTTTCAGTCATTTAAGTCAACAAGAAAGTTGTGATAGACTTTGATTAGCCTTTCACGATGAAGTCCCATCTTGTGCCACTGTTTACAACTGGTTTAATGAATTTAAACATGGTCGCACTAATCTCACCGATGATCTGCGTGAGGGAGGTGGCCTCGTTCTTCGGAAGGACAGGTCATTACACAACAATTGTTTTAGAGGATCAAAAACAAGTTACTGCAGAGTGGTACACTAATGGAAAAAGTTCAGGAGAATTGACCTCGCAGTAGGATCCTCCTTCATCATGACAACACCTCATCACACACCACCAAGCAAACAATCGACTACTTGGCGACGTCAGACGTGGAATTACTGGGTCCCTCGCCCTATAGCCCCAACCTTGCACCTTGCAATTTTTATTTATTTCCGAAAATAAAAGGAAAACTTTGAGGAAAACGTTTTATGGCCTCCGAAGAAGCAGTGGCTGTGTTTCAAAATACCATCGAAGAGACCCCTAAGGATGAGTGGGAAAAGTGCTTTTCTCAGTGGCTCCATCGGATGCAGCGATGTATTGATGTAAATGGACACAATTTCGAAAATATATAATAAAATTAATAACTTGCTAGTTTGTTCAGTTTTTGATTTTCTAAGAACTTTCAGTGTCACCCTCGTAATTTGTATAAATGATGTAACTGTATTACAAAAACTATTTACATTTTGTAATTTGTAATGGAAAACTTAAGTAATACATTGAATCTTTTATACCTATGCCAGTATTTTGATCTACAGCTTCAAGAAATTGTCCAATGACCAATGGAACTGACTGAATACGTTTAACTTCCTCTTGAGCATGAAGGTATTCCTTTTTAAGATTTCTTTGTTCATCTTTGATGTATTCTTCCTGTACTTCTAAAAATTCTAACATGCGTTGCAATTTCTGAAAATTTATATTGTTTTATTTTATTTACTTTTTTAAGATAGAAAAATGAGAAATATATAAGTAATTTTATATCAGCTTAGTCGCAATTTAAAACACTATTACAACAGAATATGGTTCAGAAAGAATAAGATTTGAAGAGAGAACATGGTTTGAATTTATAATCTGCAGTTCCTATTATGCTGCTTGTCCATATTTCTGATTCTAAGGTAACATTTACGTTTACAAAGGATTGACTAACAAATTTTGTTAATCACATTTTAATTGATCATATTCTGTATGCTATTAAGATAAAGAAACCATTGCAAGGGATAAAGAATTTGGTTTAAACTTTTAATACCTACCTTATATTTCGTATATAAATCTTCAGATTCTAGTTCTTCAAATGATTGTGGCCCAGCGAAAGGCAGCCCTTTGGTATCGGTGACTTGATCATCCTATAATATTATAGAAAATGATTAAACAGTTGAAATTAATCAAAGTTAATAGTATGAATCTTTTGAATTTACCTTTTCGGGCAAAATAATTCCAATTTCTTCCATATTTCGTAAAAATTTAATTAACAAAACAATACAATTGAATCGAATGATATATTAAATGTCATCACCACAGATAATAAGAATGATACTGTCATCTGTCAAATAAAAGCACTGTCACGTTTGTTTCATTTTACGTCGTAGAAATTATTTCATCATCATCATCATTATTTATTATTTATTCAGATTAAAATATACAAATAATAATTAAATCAATATAGTAAAATAATAGGCATTTGATATTTATGAATGACAATCATGTAAAATAATGGATTTCTGCGCGTTATGTTCTTAAAAGCAGTATATCTTAAAAGTCTAATGTCTATGCTTAAAAGATGCAAGACAGAATGTTTGACTTTTTTTAACATTATTTGGCTGTATTATTTATTATAAACCTACTCTGAAATCTGTATAGATTGGAAAATAATCCTGTATATACAAGTTCGCGGGATTGGCTATATTACTACCCCAGTTTTTCTACTCATTGGACCTTTTTAAACTCGAATGACTGCGATCTGCCAACTGTCACTCGAAAAATACAGCTTGCAGAGAAAATTAATTTGCGCATTAATAACGTTTATTTCCGCTTTATTTAACCGAGTCTTAGTATTACCAAATCTATTGAATTCATAATTATTTTTTAAAAATTAATTTAAAATACTGATACTAATCGGTGTAGATTTTAAATACCTACATAAATCCATGTTCTATTTTTATATAGGGAAAGCAGCAGTGATGATAATGATGATAATCAAAGAGAATATAACCACTACGTTTAAGAGGCGGGACTTCCATAGTAAAAATAAAATAAATGCATGAAGGTATAACCTGTCGGAAATATCTGCGAACCTGGCTTGATGACGTCATGCAATATGGAGAGATAGCAAAAAAAAATCGAGATGCAAAAATGAAATATATTTTTTGTGCGCCTATTTATTTTTATACTTCTATACAACGCCTTAAAATAAATTTAAAATAAAAAATACATTCCTATTAAAAATAAAACTATTTGTATATATCAATGTAACGCTTTTATACCGGAAAAAGTAAATGCAAGAAACCATATTAAGTATAAAAGTTTGTTCTTAGAAATGCTTTTTTTATTAGTTTCTATTCTAGGCTAAGTATAATAAATTAAAATCAAATAATTTTCGAGCCATTTAATTAGCAGGTATTTAACATTAAAATCAATTTTCTTTTTGTATTTTTTACGCTTCTTCCCTGGTGTCGAGAGCATAATAGTGTCCGTGGTAACTGAAGCTGACGTACTAGGTTGTGGGTCTTCTTCGAAGGACGTCATCTCTTCCTGAACATTTGCCTCTTTAGTTGATTCTGACAAAACTTGTAACTTTTTTGCTTCACTTTTTATTTTCATTATGGTCGATTTAGATAAACCAGTTGCTGCACATGCCCTTTTTGTTGCTTGTTCAACCGGGATACTGAAACAGCCTCGTTGTTTTTCATTATCAAAAAATTTAATTACTTTGAGCACTAAATTCCGCTCGGCACTATGTATAGTCTTACCCATCTTGTAAGTAGTCTATTGTAATAATAGTAATATTTCACCAAACAGAGAAATAATAAACAATAATGCGATTACGAAAGCGAGATTAATACACGTGCGTCGGCGCTTGCGTTGGCAACGGTACTGGATAGACGATAACGGGCGGAGGTGCGGGGAAGCGCGAGGGGTAGCGCATTCCAGCGAGGTTCGCAGATATTTCCGACAGGTAGTACGCTAAGCTACTCTACCAACATCAAGATACGACATTTAGTTTTGACATACAGTGTTGACAACATTGACGAATTGCAATAGTGCTGTAAATGTCTATCCTCGAATAATTTTATCGATATAACCTTTATCGATATATTATTTATCGATATTTTACCATAATAAAAGTTGAATCTCTATACTGAATAATTTATGAGAAATAATTTTTTTAATGTGGGGATTGAGTAAAAATGCCGATGAGGATAAGAAATCAATGTATTTTACACACAGCAATTTGTAATTATATCTCTACAATTAGGTACAAAAATATGTATAAAGAAAATATAAAATAAAAAACGCACTATTATACTAGTAATTAATTAAGTAAAAAATAAATGACGACCCCGTAGCGCAGTGGCTAAGGGTTTGGCTGCGGCCTTGCAGAACCGGGGCTTCGTTCCCGCACTGAACAAGTGTTGCTATGCTGTAAAATAAGTAGTCTGCGTCTGGATGCTTGTTTTCAACGTTTGTTTTTTTTTAAAGGTAAAAATATTAGGTTTTTAACACTGATTGGATTAAATTGCTTTTATGTGTAACAAACAATATGCACAAATCGCTAGGCTTCTTCACAGAGGTACCTATGTACATACTATTCGCAGAGATCGTTTACTAATTGTCGCTTTCAAAATGAGTGCTCATTATAGCTAATGTTTGTAGATGAATCTATAAAAAAATATTTATAACCAGGTAATTACAAATAATATTAAGTTTATTCATATAATCGAATTCTTACCAAAATGTGACTATAGAGGGATATTATTTTTGCTACATATAAATGAAACCTAATTAACATACACATAATTGTGGAAGTTTAAATAAAAATAAGTCCACTGATGAAATAACAGTTCGTTTTAGTTGAGTTCAAAAGCAATGTTTGCCACACATATGTTTTAACATGTGAATCTTTTCAATTGGTGTATGTGCCAGCTATTTCACCCATTGCTTGCATCTGAAAAAATAATATAAATAAAATCACATTTTTATTGAACAAATAAAATGTTAGCAGTCATAATTGACTGTGTAGTTTCTAAGTATAGTTCGCTTCGGATTGCCATACCATCGAACTATCAGATTTATGAAATAGTGTGTTTGTATTTGTGCACACAACCAAACACTATAAAAAACTGTCCTACGTAGATGGCTAGTCCAAAAATGTACTCGCGTTATTAGTAATATCATATTACTATTAAAGTTGAAATCACCACATACCTTTCATCATCTAAGGGAAATCTTGCTACAAATAGCCTTTTCTTGTTATCATTTTTTCCGCTTCTTGCACCATTTAATTGGAAAGTTTTATAATGCATATTTAATTTTTCAACAATTCTGTAAATGAACAACGACTCCTATAGCAAAATTAAAAGCAATCTTAATAAATAAAATATATAAAAATATAATTGTTTGATATGACATCTGAACCTATTTCATTTGACAATGTCGTTAATAGACATTACGAAAAGCAGAAAGAAGATATAACCGACATTAAAATTTGACCCCTGTAGTACCTATATTTTTTACTATGGAAGTTGCACCAGCCTGATGATAATGATGACTTCTTAGACAGTGATGCAGAGATGAGCGAAACTGAAATGCAGGTTTCAGATTAATACTATTTCGTTCACGTTTATTTTGTAAATGAATATTATTTCAAAATATTTGTTTTGCTCACCCTACCTAATTGGTTTAAATTAACAGCCTATGGCGCCAGGTCAGTCCTATTCTTATTTGAATCGCTTAGTACCAACCTATGGAGTGTAGAGAGAAGGAGGGCCATCTCTATATATGAAAAGTATCCCTAAAAACGTGTCCAATAAGGGTGGCGCTGTAGTAGCATAGGATAAATAAAAAAAAAGCGCTAAAAGTAATTAGAATAAGATGGACAAATAAACAAGGACCGACCAATCCGCTTGGTTTTGTACTACGTAAATAGTTGAGATTTTGTATACTGGCATTTTACTAACTACTCTAGTCATGAATTTTTTTAAATATTTGAATTCAGCAGACTTCACTCCGTTCACAACAGCTATCTTCATATCGTAGTTTTTCAGACGCCAGCGCTATTGTGGTAGGTTTTGGAACCTCTATTTTCAGTAAATCGTAGGACACTTTTTCAACTTTCGCCCCTTATAAGATGGTTCTCCTTGTACTCTACACCATCACATACCAACCGATCTACATATACCAACCGAAGAACAATTTTGGCTGTTAAGCAAATTTAGTTAATTTAAATAGTTAATATGAAGACAGGTGGGTTGCGTGCGGAGGCCTGTTGCGCGAGGATACTATGGCATGGAAAGTCACCCGACCTTACACTCGGAAAATTATTGCTACATTTACGGATGTGAAAAGTGCTCAAACACAACTAAAGAGTGTTAAAAATAATTTAAGAAAATGAGCACATTCTCCACGCTGAATGGCTATACTTAGTTATATATATTAGCTATTTCTTACTTTATGTATAAAGAAAGGAGTAAATATAAAATTTAATCATATCCTCAAGTGAAATAAAAAAAAAACAATTTTATGCATTTCTTTATATATTTTATTTTTATTTTATTTTATTTATAACTTCATATACACATATGGTATATAGGCGGACTTAATGCCTAAGGCATTCTCTACCAGTCTACCTTGGGATGATGCAGAGATATAATGAAGTAGGAGTAATAAAAAGGTAATATGTTAATACTAAACTAAAATAACAAAAAAAAATTGTAGCACATCGAAATAAAATACATAAGATATAAATGGTAATAAAAAATATAATATATATATAATATATAAAATATATATAAAATATATATATATATATATACTTATACTTATAAAATAAATTATGATAAAAATAATAAGATAATAAAAATGTATATTACTTAGGTACATATTAAAACGTCAGATGTATGTAAACTCATGAAGATATACAATTATAGACATAATCAAATAAAATATATATATTTATATATAAAATATATATAAACTATTACTATGATGAATCTGCCAATTTATTAGTTAAGTATTCCCGAACCTTCATCTTGAACGCGTAACGTTTGCTAGCCGTCCTGATTTCGAGAGGTAATGCGTTCCAAAGGAGAATAGATTGAATGTGGAAAGAAGAATGAACAAGTCCAGAGCTATGGGTGGGACATAGGAGAAGAAGGTTGTTCGTAGAGCGGAGGTTTCTCTCATGACTAGTGCTAAGCAACTGAAAGTATGGTGATAAGTAGGAACAGGAAGT